ATGGATGGATGGATGTGTGTATGTGTAGCTAATCATCTATACACATGTGTATATACAAATATAGATATCATATACGGATACGTATATCATGTGAACATATTCGGATGCATCCGATACAACATTCCTGGGACACCCGGCTTGCACTGCAGCAGCTGCTTGGTGACCTGAAGCAATCGTGATCGCAGTTGCTGCTCAGGGTTCACAGGATCCTTTGAAAGGGTACCTGTAAGGGTTTAGGGTTTAGGNNGTTTAGGGCTTAGGGTTTAGGTCACAGACCCTTCCAAGCACCGTAGTGAGTAGGGCTTAGGGTTCACAGAACCTTCCAGGCACACTTAAACATGCACCACATATCATGGAACCTTCATGGAACCCTTAACTTCGCCTTTTAAAGAACCCTTAAAGGAACCCTATTCTAAATAGTAAGGGTCCCTATACGGGCAGCGCAAGTGTCTTTCATGTTGGGGGGGGGACACGGATGTGTCTGCCAATGTCAAGGCGGAAGGGAACCCAAGCGGCGGCAAAACTGACAGCAAAAAAATATGAGAGCCTCAAGAAGTTCACGAGATCAATCCCACGGTACTTATACCAAATGAGCCTGAACAACTCAACACTAGATCTGCAACTCGCTATCGCAGTATCTATACATCAGGACTATAAGGGGAAACTCACGAATAACCCAGGCCCTTGTAATCTATGTTGGCCCTTTACGGCCTCTGACAGGACCCTCTGAAGCCCAATAAATGAAAATCTAAAATGTCCCAAGGCCTACCTGGTAATGATACGGCTTTCGGGTTCTTTAGCTGTTCCTTCGGGATTATAGTAATTAGCAACGAAAAACTTTCGCAATATATCTAACTACCCCTACGGATACGGCTTTCCGGTTTCGAGCCTCATGCAGTCGATGACCAGATCTTTCCGCCTTCTTCCTTGCAACCCAAAGCATGCTAATTGTTTAAGATTTCGAGTGTAGGCGTTTCAAGGAATTCTTGGGATATAGGGCTTTAGGGTTTAGGGGTTTCAAGGAATTCTTGGGTTATAGGGGTTTAGGGTTTAGGGGTTTCGAGGAATTCTTGGGCTTGCTATGCAGAGCCCTAGCTACGATTATTCCCGGGTGGCTTGAAATCGAACGGCGTTGAAGGCCTGGCCTCATCACCCGAGAGCAGCACAGCCAAAACCTAAACTCCAAGCCAGGGTAGCCTGAACACAAAACCCACAGTCGTAATCTGCATTAGTCACGCATATTCCCTTTTTTAGCCCGAATCTTAGAAACCCTCATGCTTAAACCGTGAACCCCTAACCCCGAACTGCAAACCTCTAAACCATAGAAGCTGTAACATACTGGGCTCGGCTCCACATTCCGAAAGCCATCTCTCAGACCCTCAAAAAACACCGGGTTTAGAGGTTAGGGTTTATAGGTTTAGGGTTTAGGGTTTAGAGTTTAGGGTAGACTGCAAGGGCTTGAGGTTTAGGGACTTCTCTGCGCGCGTCTTACAGGTTGCGGGCAGTAATACCCGAAAGCCTGTCCCCCTACGCCCTAAACTTGATAATGCAGGGGCGTAAATAATTACCAATACTATTTTGGGGGCTCCTCATTATAGTTATAGTATAAGGGGCCCCAAAACCCTATTCTAACTATTCAGACCCCTGTATCACTTACAAAGATCTGCGATCTGACAGCTGGAACCCTAAACCCTAAACCTTTCTTTCAGAACCGTTAGCCATTTTCTGCCTGCAAGCCCCTCAGGACCCAAACTGACGATCATATGTTTAAGGTAGGGTCCTTGAAGATGAGAATAGGGCTGCTTTAAAGAGTTTCTTGAAAGAGCTCCCAAAAGGCGTTACTATACAGGTTCTAAGATATAGGACGCTTTATAGTTAGAATGTGTTTCGGGGCCAGTATACTATACTTCTAATAAGGTACCCTCGCAATAGTAGTGGCAATTCTTCAGGCCCCTATATCAATGACAAGTGAGCTCAATTTAGCTCAAACAAAACTGAATGCTCAAAAGGAGGAAATAGTTGAGCCTGGCAGGCGGATGGGGCGCAGACGCGCCTGCATATATCCGGGCCCGCAGATGGGAGTCTAAAGGTAGCTTCAGAAGCTGCACAGTACTTGCCTGCACATTTCAGACCATGCAGCAATTTGCAAATATGAGCCAAACGAATTGAATCATTTCCGCGAAGTTCTGGTGCATTGTTTAAAAAACCCGCAGCCTCGAAAGCTCTGCCAGCACTGGGAGATTGCCGAGAGAAGCATTTGTGCACCACAAGTACTAACGTAGAACCCTGAATAAGAAACCCCACCCCCCGACAAAAGGATTGTCATCATGATAGGGATCCTACTTACAAGACAAGTGAGGAACTTCTACTTGCCTTCTCCTCGCCGTTCCATGGTGGTGTCAGCCTCATGTTCCCAACAGACCCAGAATCCTAAGGGTTCAGGGTTTAGGGTTTAGGGTTTTTGGGTTTAGGGTTGAGGGTTTAGGGGTTTAGGGGTTTAGGGTTTAGGGTTGGGAACGGCAGGTTGGCACCTTGGGGGTGAAGGAAAACTAAGAAGACCCAACGCAGACCCCCGGGAGGATCTAGAAAGTAGTTCCCTTAAGGGAGTCCCAGTAGCTATATAGGTTCGGGGTTCTACTTTCTAGATCCTCCCGCAGGTCCGGGGAAGCACTAGTATAGAGGGCGGTTGGATTCGTATGATTCGTCACAGTATCGCCTTCTGGTCCCTATCGGTATAGTCTAGTACAGCCCGCCCTCGCCCAAAAAAACGGTTCTAATGTCAAGGCCCCTACCCACATTAGATGGTCTAGAGTGTTGGGTTCCCTAAATCCTAAACCCTAAACCCTAAGTTTTTAAGCTTGAGATGGTTTTAGCCTTGAGAGTTCACGGTTTGCGTCTCCAGGCCCAGAACTTATGGTCTACTCTTTAGGATTCAAAGGGTTTATATAGGCATACCCTACCCTTGTCTTAGGATACCTACTTCTTTGTCGTTATGCAACAGATCATAACCATCAAGCCAGGTACCCAAAACACATGGCAGGGTATGAGCCTGTAGACAAGGTTTAGGGTCTATACGGTTTCAGAGTCGCGATCCAAGCCTTGAAGGCCAACATCTGGGCTTCAGGTTCAGGGTTTAGGGTACAAGCTTTAGGCTTCAGGAGGTTTGGAGTTTAGGGGTTTAGGGTTTAGAGGTTTAGGGTCTAGGGGTTTGGGGTTTCCTGGTTTCGGGTTCACAGCTTTAGGTGTTGTCGGCTTGGAGGGTTCCACTGACGTGCCTTACACCCAAGAGTGCCAGCAAGGGGCATCTTCCTCTCAGTCACGCTGCAGCGACACTGCTCCAGAGTCCATACGGTCCATGACCCTGCCAGACCCTAAACACTAAAGCCTAAACCTCTAAACCCAAACCCCTAAACCCTAAACTCCGCAAACTACTTCAAGTTTCAGGGGCCTGTTTAGCAGTGCTGTTTTGGAACCGAATCGGGGTCCAGAGGCAGCGTTAGTGGGTTACAACTCAAGCGTGTGAACTGGGTGTATAGGTCGTTACAACTAAACCCAGAACATTACACCTCTTTAACAATAACCTTAATGCGAGCTATAGTTGTTAAAGCTCCCTGGTCCTTAGATACCCTAAACCCAGAGCCTCCTACACCTAACCCCAATCCCAACCCGCAATCAGCATTAATGGCAAGCCGGGCTTGTCTTCCAAATTCCAGGGCCAAAACCTGTGGAGTTCTTGGCTAATGTAAGGGCCTTCATAATTAGCCTAGGGTTTTGGGGGTTCCATATTATATTTAAACATCAAAATATACCACAAACCCTATTCTCATTATTAAGGCTCCTATGTTTCGTTTGGGGTTGGGTTGCGGTATTCAACTGCACCCTCTTCGAAATCATGGTACCTGTTCATCTTTTCTACTGCTTCACTGCTTCAACCTGTGGGACTCCAGCATCATGCGACTTCTTAGACAAACGCCATACAATGTGCAGTGGTTGCCAGAACCTCATTTAAGTCAAAGAAGATGCAGAAGGTGCTGATGGTGTCTGCAAGACATCTTTGGATGATACGGCTGATGGACAAAATCCTGCATGACCTTATATATCTAAACTATGGGATTTATGGTACCGTACTATATTTGGGTCATGCAGAATTTTGTCCATCAACAGTAGCGCTGTCAACTCTTTCAGCTGAGCTTCCTGGAAACCCAGGACCCAGCAGTGGAACTCGATCGAGAAGTTGCAAACCCATAGCAGTTTAGGGTTTAGGGTTTAGGGTTTAGGGTTTAGGGTCTAGGCACCGTGCCAGTCTCACAACCGAAGAGGGGTTCTCACGAAAGCTTTGCACAAGGCGCAGCGGCGTGTTATCTTACCGGGGAAAATGCGGCCTTTTGGACACCTTACCTAGAGGATCCACTTTCCATATATACTACTATTATGGAATTAGGTCCCCCCAAACCAGTATGAGGATGGTCTTTTGGGGGCCAGTTCCATAATGGCAGTATATGTGGACCCTCTGGATTACCAACTTGGAAGAAAACAAACGCCCTCCACGAAAGACTCAGCCCGAAACCCGACGCTTAGGATCGCATGGTTTTTTGCGCATGTCTCGTGGTGTCGCAGCTCGGTACGTCTGACGCCGCAGCAGTGCTGAGACTCACAAAACCTTGGGCCAAACCAGCCCTGCATTGATGACGACAACCGAACCGAGCCATTTTTCACCCCTCGGAGCGGCCCCAAAGGCTGTAAGCTCTGGATTTTTCTACCGGGCTGGCCCAGGTGGTCCTGGAGGCCCAGGAGGTCCCGGAGGTCCGGCAGGACCGGGAGGCCCGGCAGGGCCGGGAGGTCCACTGAAGGACGTGGTCGTGGCCACCGTGGTGGTGGTGACTGTGGTCGTGGCGATCGTGGTCGTCTCTGTGGTTGTGGCCACCGTGGTCGTGACTGTGGTCGTTGTCGGGGTAGTCGTCGAGGTGGTGGTTGCCACAGTGGTTGTGGCAGTGGTGGTGGGCACCGTGGTGGTGGCCTCAGTGGTCGTTGGGGGCGCAGTCGTGGTTGGCTCGAGGTGCGTGCTCAGCGCGGAGGAAGGAATCACGACCTTCGCATCGCCTGAGTCTGGCCCCTTGTACCTCACCTTGCTTGTGGACATGGAAACTGTCAACGTGCCGTCTGATACTTACTTGTAAGCACCCCCAAAAAAGCTTACAAACGCCGGACTTCGAGAACTAAGATTCTGAAGATAAGATGCCTGTACAGACCCTTGCTGCCTATAAAAGCTTTCTGGCATTTTCGTAAGTCACTGTAAGAGATGCACCACCGCCATTCTCGAAGAATTCAACAAGCAGTGGATGCCAGCCAGCTGCCAGTTGCTTGGACCCACTTCTCTCCTGTTTCCCATAGCAAGCAAGGTTTCAGGATAGGCATGATTCGAGTTTCGAATTTAGGGCGTGGGGCCTAGGGATTTGGGGCTTGGGGCAGGTTGTGCCCTCTTGCGGTCTCCTGAGTCCCATGCAAGCCGTCGTTGTCGACCACGCGCTCCTGAGTTTGGAGGTGGCTACGACAGACTGCTGATGGATGAGACACACCTGCACTACCTAGAAGAAGAACATCACCATGAGTGCCGTAGTTTAGGTAACCCTGTAAACCTTGAACCCCAAACGCCAATCTTAAGCACTAAATAGTTGCGATGACCAAGGTAGTTTAGAATTTCGTCTTTCCACCGCGATAGGAGGCATCCTCCAAGCTTTTTGTTTGCTACACAAACAAGAACTACAAGACTACGCCTGCAAGACCCCAACCGTTCCACCTTCGTTGCAAGCAGTCTCCATGGGCATAGAGTTTAGATTTTTAGAGGGAGGGTGATGTTTATTGCTTCAAGGTCTTCAGTCAAAAGGGTATACCCAGCAGTCATCACCGGACGAGACTCCCCATCCAAGTAGAGGAAGGAACCATCGTCTGAGGCGGTGTACAGGTCGTAGGTTCCAGGAGTCTGAATCTTCAGAAAACCTGTGCACCTCACGGCGAAGTGGTCGTGTTGCGCGACTTCCGGGAAGCGATCGTCACTGGTGAAGTCAATCTCAGGAGCGACGATGTGGCTGTCCGGTGTCCTTCCTGCGCACTTCGCACCGGTGGAATGGCCGGGATGTGGGCTGAGCCACGGGGTCGGCGTTAACGCTACACTCTATCACTGGCCGAAAAACCTTCCCTTTCAAGGAATTGTATATCGAAGCCATAATAAGGAACGCTAAAACGGTAGGTTTCTTCGACTACACTCTACGCCCTAAGGCCCTAAATCAGCCCCAAACTCGACGAGATCCGAATCTGTTGAAGGCAAAGCTGCCTGCGAAGTCCGGGACGTTGGAACCCTGCGTGAAGTAGTAGTACTCGCCTGGGTTCTGGGGTTTAGGCTTTAGGGATTGAATGTAAGTTACCATAATAGCGATCTATTAAATAGATAAGAAATGGTTTCCTTCCTATGACAACTTAAATTTTTATCCCTTAACATAGGGCCCCGAAAAAGCACATGAGCAAAAATTAGGATAGAGATATCCCATATAAACCCCCTTTTAATGAAGCCCTATAAGGCAGGGGGTTTCCCTATAACATGCTTGTGCTTATGTCCTTTCTGGGTTCCTAATATCTCTCTTCTTCAAGAACCAGGCCAAAAAAAAGTTCAAGCTTTTTTAGATAGATCGAATATATAGGGACAAAAAGTTTAAAGTTTAAAGTTCTCCCATTGGCCATCTAAGATATGGGTGGTTGTCAAAATTATGGTCCCTTTTGGGGTCCTTATTATAATTATAATACGGCACCTATTATTTAGGGTACCCCAAAAGGGACCATAATTTTGACAACTACCCATATGGGAGTTTCCGAAAATTAGGGTACCCTATTTTGGGGTCTTCATAAGAAGGATCCTACTATTTAGGGTACTATATTAGGGTTTCCCTTATCAAGAACCCAGTCGCAGATCATGCCCGGCGACCCGAAGTCTTCCTCGGTGCAGGAAGCAGCCGGGAGGCCCGAAGCAACGGGGGGAGGGGGGGTAGGGTTTTAGGGTTTAGGGTTTAGGGTTTAGGGTTTAGGGTTTAGGGTTTAGGGTTGGAGAAAAAGAACACGAGTGCCCAGAGAGCCCAATACCCCCTAATTAAGAAATATACCTTCAATTGGAGGGGCCATGATCTTATGATTTAAGGTAGATTCCTTAATTAAGGGGTATTGGGTTCTCTGGGTGCTTGCGTCTGAGGGTCTGCCTTAACCCCATAAACTCTCAGTTTTCAGGGTTCCTTCTGATGATTTCCTTCTGTATGTCCTTGAGAGGTAGGTTTGAGGGACTTCAGGTAAGACAAACATTGAATCTCTGGCTTCTGGGCATGGATAATTCGAATCGTTTTGGGGTGTATCACAGTATACTGATACGAATGAACCCTCGGGAATATACTTGCAATCATTTCGGCTTCTATATTGCAGAAGTTACAGAATGTTGGACCCTAGGGGCCATATACTCTTGCAAACACTGTCCTACACCCTTCCGACCCGAAATGCCGACATATGAACTCGGTTTTAGGGTTTAGGGTTTAGGGTGCCTAAACCGTAGACGCCTGAGCAAACTTCAAGAGATCCGGGCTTCGGTCTCGCAGTTGAGGCCGCTGTAGCCCGGATCGCAGACGCAGGCGCAGCTGTCGAGTTGAGAACCGAACTCGTTCCTTGGCGTTTTAGAGTTTAGGGTTTAGGGGGCTTTCGTATGATCTCAGTGGGCGTAGGGCTCGGGTTTCGTGGTTTATGGTCTAGTCTGGCTTTGTCTCTTAGACAGGCTTTAAATGGGGAGACGGTCCTAAATCGGAACCTAGGTGTGTTGGCAAAGGCTTGTTGGAAACCCCATACACGATTGCGAGTTCGGATGTGCCTTGAGCGAGGACAGGTTGTAGTTTGGAAGTTATTTTTTGGTGGCTGTGTTTTATCCTTAGACTTTACTTGGAAGTTCATGGGACATTCAAAGTAGTGTTGGAAGTACCGTATTCGGTTACGGGGAATTCCAAGTACAGTTGCCCGACAAATGACCGTAGTTATTATGTCCCGGGAACCTTTAAGTAGGCATTGCGGTACCTTAAACCCTGAACCCTAAACCCGTGGGATTACGGTTGTGGGCCATTCAGCACTCCTGGACTCTGTGTCTCTGTAAGAGCTTAAGCATTTGGGTTGGTAGGATCTTTGGGTGGTTTAGGGTTTAGGGGTTTAGGGCTCAGAAGAAAGAAAGCACAAGAAAGGCACTTGTTGTTTCTTGCCCAAAGCACAGTACATTATCAGAGTACGTGGGCCATTGGGGAATATGACCAACAAAACCCCAACAGGACCGGGGTCCTTGATAAGGCCGCTGGTGGCACGATGATATCACGCCGAGAAACCTATGTCATCAATGTCCCTCGCGGAACTGGCTCCATCATCCCTGACACTTGCCGTACAGACACATAGAAGAATCGGACCTTGCACACCCAATCCAGAAAGTGCTGATACCCGTTAATTAAGTTTGAAAGGATTAGTCCCAGAATCATAGCAGCCCCTTGACAGCCTAAGGAATATATGGGTGGTGGTCAAAATTATGGTCCCTTCTCGGGTCCGTAATATAATACGGCACCTAATATTTAGGGTACCCCGAAAAGGGACCCTAATTTTGACAACTACCCATATAGCTGCGCAGTCTGCGGTTAGTGGTATACGCATCGGAAGCTCGGGCTTCTGGGAATCTCAAACGCCTCACTGGGCTTTGAAGTAACCGGGGAAAAAAGTATAGACTTGTATTCCATAATGGTTCCTTTAAGGAACAGGTCCCCAAAAAAAGCATTAAAGTATGGTACTCCAAAGCCCAGTAAACCATCCAAAACAACGCCTAAACCAACAAAAACCTTAAACCCTAAACCCTGAACCCCAAACCCTAAACCCTAAACCAACAAAAACCCTAAACCCTAAACCCTAAACCAACAAAAACCCTAAACCCCAAACCCTAAACCAACAAAAACCCTAA